TCATATACTCGGTGGAAACGACTCTAAAGGGTTCTTGCTATGTACATGCTTGTGGTTTTACTTCCCCGGGTCTTGCTGGACAGTTTGAACTCACTGTGGCTCGCTGCAGTATAAAATCCTGCATCTCTATGGAAACAGCACAACAAACAAGTACAAGTTGAATTTCTTTGATTATTGACTTTCCAAATTTGGAAAAACAAACTGGAATCAACATTTACAGCCTTTTTCCAAGTACACATGGGTGTTACCAATACTGGAAAACTATATATATATATATATATATTACTGCTCACATTTGTAATTTGTTTCTATACTTGTTTCCCATCTGCTGTGTCTATATACCAAATGCAGTTCAACCAAATGGTCCCTGAATTTTTGTCACGTGACCGTTGGTTGAAGCTGAGTCACTGACGGCTTCACGGTTGCACCAAAAAGTACAGAATTTTTTGTTTTTTACAGAATCTGCTTTACAGAAACTGTTAATTTTTGGACAATTTTTTAACCAAACGTGTAGAATAAAGTTTCACAGGTTTAAACTCAGGTTTGGTAAAGTTTATCACCAGAAAAGCATCACAGATGAGAGGTTCAAGGACCATCGGAGGGTTGAAAATCTTACAATTCAATCTGTTTTCATTGTTTCTGATATAATTTTGGCTTCTTTTTTTAAAGAAAACATGCATCTGGGGTTCATAGGTATAAGATCTCTAACAGCTTTTTGACAAAACAAAAAAAAAAGACGAGCAGTCAAACCCACAGCCGTACTGTGCACCTCCAAAAATCAAGAGCAATGGGCTGCCACTAAGCTAAAGCAAACATGATGTGTTGGACCCAAGGCATTTAAAATTGACACTGACATAAATCACAATATATTCTGACAGTATATATGCGTATATGTATGTCGGGTTTCAGTAGATAACCCAGAAATCTTTAAACCTAGAAATGGCCCCTGTGAAAACTGTTCACAGTGTCTTTTGCAGATTATCCAGAGTAATGGGGGCATTTTTATGGAGCAAATTACATTAAATTTGTTAAATGTGGCTTCCAGTTGCTGGAAAATGAAATGAAATTGATCAACATTGCATATTTATGAAGCCAAATGTCTGAAAACGTGGGCGAACTAAACCAAAAAGTGCAGGAGGAGACACCGTTCGAGGCATTTCTTTTTTAACTTGGGTTATCGGAATGTCCAACCTGAACTTAACCGAAGTGCTCTCTCCTTAAATCCCAGGACTCATCCATCGATGACTTTAGCGATACAGACAGCGAGAGCAACTTCCCTCTGATGATCCCTCAGGACTACTTGGGTCTGGCCTTTTTCTCTATGCTCTGCTGCTTCTGGCCCCTGGGCATCGCTGCCTTCTACCTTTCACAGAAGGTACACAAACACACACACACACAGTCCTGAGCTGACGAGATACAACCTGGCACTGTAGTGCACAGCTGAGGGTGATTTCTTCCCCTCTGCAGTGTGTGTGCGCAGACTAACAACAGGTCCTGAGTGCTGTGCAAGTGAAGACATCATGGACCAGAGTTGAGGCGGGGAGGATTACGTGTAGATTTGCAGGATTATGCCACGAGGCTTTTGAAACAGCTGAACAATTGAGCAAAAACATTTAAATATCACTCTTCTGCACCATATTTCAGAATGATTTTTTTTTGTATACAGAAGCTTGATCTTAATTTAGATAAGAAAAAAACATTTATGTATCATCTTCAGCCTCTGTTGTTTGGATTAATAAGCATGTCTGTCTTGAAAACAGCTCAAAGAGTCGCCCTTTGTTGCCGTTGACAGGCTGTAAACTTGAATCAATATTTCGGGAGAGACAAAAAAAAACACAAAGACGAGCTTGTGTCGATTTTTCCGTATTCAGTAACTGATTTAGCGGCTCTTCGAAATGATCGCTTGAGCACCTGCCTGCTGATGAAAACTACCAACTCACGGGGCAAATATTGCTCATAACCAGCAATTACACTAACAATAAAGAACTACTTATTACTAGTAGCTCTTTCAACCTTATCTACACTCTTATAAGTATCATAACTATCCACATTTCCAATCCTAGTTGATATATTTATCAGTAAATTTGAAATTTGGGGCTTTTATAGGGACAAAGTTTCATTCTTTAAAAAACACAGAAATAGCTGTACAAATAAAACACACATAAACAAAATGCATTAATCATATGCTGCATGCATGCTGTGTGCTCCTATAGCAGGGACAGCACAGGAAAAAAAAAAAAATCAATCAATTAAAAATCAATGCACCCGCAAACATGTAGCTGCTTTTAAACAGCGTCAGCATCTAAGCAGCATAATCAGCCCTCCGTCCTCTAGCTGTACACATCAGCAGCTAATTACAGTGTGCATTAATGAATTCATGGTGATTACAGTTAAAGCTGCTGTACATTTAGAAGTGTTCATTTCAGAGATAATCAGTCTCTGGTGGAAATATGGGACGCTCTCATCAGTCACTGTTACCATTAGCAGCGGGAGGAAAAGCCTCGACACCTCTATCTGGAGCCGCCAGAGGCCCCGGTTTTATGTAGGCATCCTTCCAGCACAGCAGCAGCAAGAAAAAAAAAATCCCATTAACACTTTTGCAAACCTAACTGGCAGCAGGCTGCAAAGGCCTTTTGATCAGATCAATGGGCTTCGTTAAGGTTTAATTAGAGTCATAACAAGAAACCTCAAGGTGATAGATTTCCAATATTGTTGAGTGCTGCCTAAAACAGGGGTCAGAGTCAAAGGCAAGGACTCGCAGGGAAGAGAGGAAAGAGGAGGAGGAGGAGAAAAGTGATGAATGAGTCACAAACGCTGGGTGTGTTTCAGAGATGGAGCATAATATGAGCTTAGCGTGTGATTGGAATGAGCGCGAGAGGGAAAGTGTAGGCCGGCGAGGACATTGACAAATGATGACAAATGCCCTTCTCTCCTGTGTTTTTTTTTTTTTTTCCTCCTCCCACCTCCCTCCTCTCTAATCCTTATCTCACTGTCCTCTCGCCTCCCATTTCTCAGACCAACAAGGCGTCGGCTCAGGGGGATTTTCAGGGGGCCAACGCAGCATCTCGCCAGGCTCTGTGGCTCTCAGTGCTCTCCATCGTGTTCGGGATCATCACGTACATCTGTGCCATCGCCGCGTTGATTTCCTACCTGTCTGCAAAGCCGCCGTAAAAGCGACCCCGGTCTTACGAAAAGGATGCACAAGACGTAAAGACGGACGCATTTCATGAATAGCAACAAACATATCACCTGTAAATGTTAAAAAAAGTAATCACAGTCTTTTGTCTGTCGACTTGTCTGGAGTCATGTTTCATCCGCACCGAGCTGGAAAAGCAGAGATCATAATCACTTCTAATTGGATTAGGACATAATTCAGCTCAGAGGCCGAAGAAAAAGAAAAAAAAAATCTCACTTCATTCAGAAGATTCCGTCTGTAAGTGTGGTTTTATTTTGTCATCTGAGGACTTCTTTTAAATGTGTGCTGTGGTTGTCATCACATGTTTAGCTTTACTCAAGTTTAAAAAAAAGAAAATGCAGATGTTTCCACAGCGCTGTAGATATCACTGCTCCAAACAATGAATAATAAGAAGAAGCAGGTGGGGGGAGAGGAGAGAGGAGCGAGGTGGCCCAGTGGACGGAGAGATGGAGTCTGCAGATTTATGAGAAGGTCACAGCAAGGACGCGGCTGCAGATAAATCCTGATGGACTTCGCCGTGGGAGGGCCTGAGCCAGCACTGTCACCGGAGGGGTGAAAAGCCGGCGGCGGCGTTTTTCTTTTTTTTTAGAGCCTCATGTGCTCCTTCAGAGAACCCCACCGCTGGACGCAGCCGCATGGAAACACTGCACACGATAATCCTGATTTCACTCATTGTTTACCTGCAGGAAGGACTGTCGCTGCTCTCTTTATGCCAAGTTGAATCTTTACGTTGAAATACACAACAAAAAAAAAAAAGCTAAGAATACATAGAGTGCCATTATATCAGAGAATAAATAGGAGAATCTTAAAATAAACTGCAGGATCGTGGTGAGAAACACGGGTTCTAGATATAGAAATAAAGCTTCTATATATACAGTGCGAGGAAAAATGATGACAGGGAGGGTGCAGACCTGTGAGGAAAAGTGCCAAAAATATGGAAGAAACTCTGCGGATGAGCCTTTTATGAGCTATTCCATTAATAGAAGCAACCATGCCGTTACACTGCGCTCCCCAAACACACATTTCTGCTATTTCACAGAGCTGGAATCCTTCAGGAACTTGTTTCTTGCAACCCAAAAAAAAAGCTTAAAAATAAAAACAGCAAGACTTTGATCAGACGAGCAAAGGAGCAAAAAATAGCCACACGATGCATGACTCAGCAACATCTCCAGTTCGGATACCTGCATGGCGAGTCTGTCGATTACAAACCTGCTCTAAGCTTCTGTCATTTCCTTCATTTGGTCTAAAATGTTTTGCAAGAACAGCTTTGAAAAAAAAAAAAACCTTTAGCCATATTGGTTTGAGCTTAACTGTGCCATTAACAAAAGAGCCAACAAGGGAAGAACTCCAAGTAGATATTAAAAAAAAAAAAAAAAAAACGACTGTAAGGTAAACATTTTCTATTTAGATGTATAGTTTTTTAGAGTCAAAAGGTGAACTACAAGTGACTCAAATGAAATACGTCGTTTCCTGCAATCCCAGTGTTGTATCAAGACTGAGCTGATCATAGATTACGGTCACTATAAGTGGTATTTGTAGACACACCTCTGGTATCTCGGTGTCTAACCCTCGTCAGCGATCACTGTTCACCGACCGTCCACACAAACACCTCTGACAATCCTCAACCATCGTCTGTCTCCACCGGACATCTATGTCAAAGAATAAAAAAAAAAAAATGTCCTTTTGTTGTTACAGCTGACAATTAAGAGATTTATACGGGAGCGTTTGATGTGGATTTCCTCGACTGATCAGACTTTGTGCCACTCGCGTAGGAAACAGCTGGACACTGAAGTGGACAACTGGGTCGATAAAGGTCAATGGTTGCAGCAAAAAGGGATTTATTAGTATAAGAAATATTCGGTTCTTTCCCAGGTCACATCCTTGTATTACATGTAAATATTAAAGTGAAGGAAAATCAGTGAATCCCAATAAATGCACTTGTTTGACACTCGTCTTTCCTCTTTTCATTTCGCACTCGACTCAAATCTGGTGTCGCAGCCAGACGATCACATCCACGGCACAGCAGCCTGAAGTGGTTTCTAAATATTTTATTACAATCAAAGTATTGGTATGTTTTGTCTTTTGTACAAAATAAAAAAAAAAAGGATTTAAAAAAGGAACCTGCTTCTTCATCAGGGGGTTTTGGAGTATCGTCTCTTGACAGAGTCTCTGTAGAACTGGAAGATCTTCTCTGATGCTTCCTGACTCACTGCTATACACTGCTGCAGCTGTGGAAGAACAAAAAGAAGAAAAGCAAAAATTAAAGCCAAGGTGTGGAATGTCTGCACTACGGATAATTCACATCAGACAGAGTTTACACAATAATGCCGAAGAACAGCGTCACAACAGCTCTGATAATCACACATTAGCAGAATCCCAAAGCCTCACTGACAATCATGTTTATGTGTTTACTGACCTCATGAACTGAAAATGATCCTTTCGTTGAAGACATCATGACTCTGCGCTCGGTGCTGTCGATCGCAAAAGTCATCAAAGCTCGACTTTCCTTTAGAGTGAAGACAAGAACAAATCAACCAATTTAGTGTGTGACTGCACTGAACATACTGCATGTTAAAGACTATAAACCAGGGGAAAGTCATAATTTAAATTCTAACATTTCTACTATAACTTTCCCTGTTTTACCCAAAACAGGCCTCAGTCGTAAAGTTGTACAAGTTTTGTCCCTCTGAATGCCAAAACCTGGAGGCAGGTTTGAAAGGCAAGTGATGTTTAGAAAAAAATAGATCCAGAAACTGTGAAAACAGGAAGAATCCTCAGATTATCTACTTTTTGATGGTCCTTGAAGTGCTCATCTGTGACATGCTGTTCTGTTCAGAAATGTCATCAAATCTAAGCTTAAAATCATTTCATTGAAATCATTTTTTTAAAAATACCAGAAATAAACCATTTCCAGCAAGCAGATTCTAATAAATCAATCAATCAATCAATCAATCAGTCAATCAATCAATCAATCAATCAATCAATCTACATTTCTCTGCAAAACCATGAAGTCAGTAGTGACTCAGCTGCAACCAACAGTTACAAGACAAAAATTCAGGACCTTTTCGGCTGTAATAGGTTAATCTGCAGGGTTTGCTTACAAAGAACAGATTGGGCTCAAGTATGAAAACAAATATAAAACATAAGTAGTAAAACATCCACAGCAGATAGAGTCACTCTTTTCAATACTAATAAGACCTGTCAGTTCTA